TTGCCTAACCACGTAAAGCACTTTTGATTTTTCCCCACACCTAGGCTACATAATTGGCAGCCAGTAAAAACTTCCTGAGACAATAAACCAAAACTCCATTTCCAAATGGCATAACCATTAAGCATAACCAAGGGTCCTGGGAGAAGAATTTAATTTGACTGCATATACTTAAATCCATAGTCTGTTTAAAACCTGACTTTCAACCACAAAAGTAAGCTTTAAAATATTTATAAGTGGGAAGACCCCATCCTAGTATTATATGTACCAAAGGGCTGTGTCACTTGAGATGTGATGTGTACTGTTATTTATACATTTGGAAATCAAGTTTAGATCAGGAAAAATGGAGCCATTTAAATCAACAGCAGCATCTGCCTGTTTTTCCTGGGTGTAAGTGGCTGCATTAACACAGTCTGCTGTAAGGAAATTGTTCAGTTCACTGCCACTCAAAGGCTATGGCACCTTGTCTTACATTTGGTGTTGTCAGTAACTTTGAGTTCACCATTTCTTTAGGCTTCTCCTCACTTCACAAATAGGTTGCTCTATGAGGGTATGAGGGACTCATTCACTGAAACACCTTAGCCCCTGAGGATAAGGAGTCAGGCTGATCAGCTCTTATCTGGATGGAGGGACAGAAACAAGAGGGTAACATTGCCCATGTATGCCATACTGTCCAGGCTGAAACGTAAGACTGCACAAAGCAGGAGGACGTACTGTGAGCCTTGTGTTCACATGTGAATTAGGATTATATCACCATAAATTATTATGGCTTTCTTTTTTTGTAGTTATGACAGACATAGATATGAATACACAGGACAACACAGGTCACTGAGTTTCTCTGCATGTGTACGTCATAGATGTTCAGCTCCAAAATGTCCAAAGATTCTCCATTTCCTCTTGCACCATCTGCAACATCCTTGAACAAGCGCAAAAGCCTTTTAGTTAAAAACTAAAATAAAAGCTTAGATTCTGCAAGAGGCGGAACAAAGACGACCCTGATCATGGGGTTGAATTTCTAGCACAGATGCTCATCTTGGCTTCATTTCAGGAGGCTCTGAGTGTACCATGCAATTAGGCAAACTCTTTCCCATCACATCCCGGCACTGGAGCTCCACTGACTTGTGTCAGACATAGATGATGCTCTGACCCTGCGGTCCAGCAGCCTCCTTTGAACTCAACAAAACTAAAGCGTGGCACTTTGCTTGTTCTCTCTGCTGTAGTTTTAGGAAAGATAAATTTTGAAGCGGACAAGAGTAAATAGCACCATTTTGGTGTTGCTCTGGATCTGGTAGCTGCTCTTTGCTTCTGTGCTAAACAGCTGAAGTCTCATGGGATGGCTTCTGAGACGCAGAAGCTGGGAGCTGAACACAGCAAACTGGATTGGCAGGTGGCTTGGGAGTTTTTGTCCCTTCCTAAACTGGGACAACACTGGAGAATACAATAGACATCCTATTTCCCTCAGCAGTAATCACATTCCCATGTAGGGGCAAAGCTATTCAGCCCTTCAGCATTCATACTATATTCAGTCAGGAAACACATTATTGCCTCATAAAAGGGGACACCTGTCTCATTGTCCATTAAATATTAACAGCAGCACCATAGAAATGAACTGTAATAGTTTTATTATAGTAATGTTCTGGGTAAATCTTATTACGGTGTAGCGCGGATGTCAACAAACAGAAAGAAAGTACGAAAATGTTAATTTTATACAAAAAATTGCCGACTGGTGTAATTTGGATGCCACTGAACCCTTCTGGCAGAGGTAACAGCATCAAATGCTCCTTCAGCCCTTCGTGCTGTAGAAATGGTGACACTTGTCGCTTCCCAAGTATCTCTTTTATCAGTAGATATCAAAGCATTTGTCTGGGGCTGCAAAGAGCCTCGGCAGCCGTGCTTCTGCCGCAGGGGAAACCGAGGTACAGTGGGCACCTGGAGCTGGTTGCATCAGCCTGCAGAAAAGCGGTGCAGAAATAGGCCCCACACCCTCTCTTATCCACTTAGTGCTGCTTGCTATATAAAGGACTGCACGCCGCCTCTGCCGGCGATTTATATCCCGGGCAAATCTCCTTAGCTCTGCTGCCTGGCTCCTGAACTCCAGCTGCAGAGCACATCAAAGGAGGGGTCTCGGAGCCTTGCTTAAAACAAAAATGCCATGTACTTTGCGCTTCCTTCTCTTCAGCCCAGGCAGGAAGCGACAGCACAGAAATACCGTGCCAGGGGCTATTCCTGACCCACAACATCCCTCTTTCCTTGTGGATAAGGTTCCAGAAGCCTCCGGATCAGGCTGGGAGTCTCCAGAGTACTGGCTTTCTCTGGGGGCTTTCCAGTCGGTCCCGGGTTTAGCGGAGCTGGGAAATCTGCAAGAATAGCTTTTGTCCCACCACTGCTTTATTCCTGTTTCCCAGCCTCGCTGAAACAAAAGAGGCACGGGCAAGGTTTTTGGGTGGTGCAGATGAACAAGACTTTCCTGGAATGAATAAAAAGGTCAAGTTTTGTTCCCGGCACAACTCCTGCACATTTCTAGCCCGTGGGCCCTTGCCTGGGCACAGCCGCTTTTTGCTCAAAAGCCACCCATTGCCTTTTCACCCAGCTTTAGTCCTTTGTACGGCAATTTATTTAAAACACCCGAGCAGATAAAGGGTTTATGCTAATTTTGTGGACCCAAATCAGTAGTAAATGCCATAGACATGAAAGACAGAAAACTACCAAAGACTCAGTTTGGGGGTTTCTTCATGTTTCTCAAACAATTCCAGAAAGCAAAGCTTTCAGACTAGGGGGAGTTATCCTGGGCCACATTAAACTGTCCTTCCTGTGTTCTGCTTACTCCAGTGGTATCCAAATGGTGCAGCCTGGAATAAGATAAAAATTGAGCTGAGAAACAGTGACTTCAGTTGAAATTTGTAAGTTCATAAACCAGTTAATAAATTACAAATTATCCCAAATAATTGGCAATAAAATCTTACCTATACAATATCTTCCTACACCATCTGTATGTTATCTCCTAAAAAAAAAAAAAAATCGGCACCACTTTTAGAAATAAGGCAGAGAAGTCTGTATTTAATATTAGTGTTATTTTTCATGTGACTCAGTCTGTAATAAATTCAGCCTTTTGTCATACTATGCATCTACCATACAGGCCTTCAGGAGGGTAAAAAAAATTATAGTAAGTTCTGGAAAGAAAAAAGGTGCCTGCTGTAGGTTTTCCATATGTGGTAACAGTCCTTAAAGGGAAGGAATATGGAAGGACTATGTAACTGTCTAGTGTCTATTTCTTGCCTTGCTGGAGTTTATGCCCAGGTATAGTCCCAGACTAAACAGTGTGTGGGAAGTGGAAGGAAAGAGGGAATTCCACCTTTAAGGTAAGGATGTGTTCCTTAGAGATTTGGGGAGGGAAGTAGAGGGCGTATGAGTTGACAACACTTGGTATTTGAAGCTGATGAGGGGTTTGTCAGACCCCGTTCTAGGACAGATGCTCAGAGATTTTGCTTTTTTCTTCGTAGGCTCACAGTATTTGTTCCTTTAAAATATTTATCTGATCTGAAATTATAAGAGGTGGTTGGTTTACTGGCTGGTGGTTGCTTGGTTTTTTTTGCTAATTGCTTTTGAATGTTACCCGTTACCCGTTAAACTTTTTCAGTGATCTAGTCCAGGTGCTACAATTATGCAGTATAACCCAGCATGATAAAGCCAGTAAATACCCAGAGCAAACAACTTGCAGAGTAACTACAGGCAGACACACCACTCACCCAAGCCAGCTAGCAAATCTTTGCACAAACAACATTTACAGGCAAAAGTAGGAAAGATTTCATCCCTGGTGTACAGTCCAGAGAAAAGACAGAATGTGACAGAAATTTATGCAATTCTGTCTTCAATGATCTTAGTAACTTTGCTTCCAATATAAGTTATTTATACATTATTTACTGAACTTGTCCTTAAAGGAGAACTTGAACCCATCAAGTACATTCTGTACCTTAGAGAGTTTATATTCTGTCATTAAAAAACAGTATTAATGGATACTACAGTGTTTCAGATCATAAATTTCACTTCTGGATTAATGAGGAGCATGTATCAATGTTCTATTATACTTGAATAGACAAATTTAAAAGGGTTTTCTTTCCACGCAAGATCAGTGTCGCATTTAATGCCACAAAGGTCTCACAGGTGTCAAAACCCAACTTCTTTAATTTCTGTAAAAGCTGTTGCTTAATGAGTTATTTATATGTAGTTAGGAAGACAAAAAAAGGATACTATGGAGCTGAGTTCTATGTAACTACTCTGAGGCTGAAAAATGTAAACAAATAAAAAAATAGAAGCAATAATCCAGTTCAGTTGTGTCTAATGGCAGATAATGCTGGTGATTAGTACTGTAATATGTTCTGCCTTCTTATCTGGAAAGACTACAAATAATAACTAACTACTGATAAAAATAACAATTCCCTTCATGGACTCGCTTTTTCCCCTCCAACTATGCGTGGACTCTGTGAATAAGAGCCCTGTGATGATGATGACTTCTGAGTAACTTATGTGTTGTCTTAGAATAAATTTTTAATTTATGACTGTGTTGATTACCCGGGCTGAAGGGGGAAAAGCTCGGAGCTCCCAAACCTCCACCTCCTCTGCTTTTTCATCCTCCGATGTTTTATTTTCCCAGCAGTCCAGCTGTACTCTCCTCATACTGTGTGTATTGTCAGGATTATCTGCAGCCCTGTGAACTATAAACACGGCTCACTGCAGCCCAGCTAACGGAGTGGCAGAGGGCCAAGAAGGAAAATTGTCCTCTCCGTCTGAGAGGCATCTGGAAAAACGAACCCAGGAAGGGTTTCTCCCTCACTCTGCTGGAAGATCTCTGACACCACAGTGACAAAGTAAAGAAAGTCCTCCCCAAAATAACAGAGCAGTTGTTTCTGGGTGATGGGATACTCCCAAGTAATTGTGATGGCTTTTTTTTTCTTTTTTTATATAGTGAAAGACGGTCTTGTCCCCATTTGTCACTGAAGGTAGGGATGTTCTTCAGCAACACATTTTCAGAGTCCAAAAAGCAGAACTCGGAGCACTCAGTTTCCAGTCGCTATGAATTTGGGGTAACAGAGTCCCCCGATGTCTTGGGTTCATCCCATGTGAACATGGAAAGCAAGTCCTTCCCCTGGTTTGTAATGTGTCCTTGTAGCTGTAACGCCCAGTGCTGAGCTTACTGCTATGGCGAAGGGTTTTATTTTGCTGAAGTCTACCTGAAGAGTAAGGATAAGGGCCACAAGGGTTTAAAATCATTTAGCACCCCAGTGGAAAACTAGCTTTCTTTAAAATTAATGGGTAGTAGAGGCCGAAGTGGGAATTTAAAATACAAAGAGCTCTCTGCATCTGTGTCTGTGGCGCTACTGATATAACAAGGAGTACCAGGGCTAGTCCCTAATTAAAAGAGAGTAGTTGTCTGATTAATGGGCAGCACCAGATGGCATCAACGGCGGTGCCTTTTTTAGTTTTACTTAGACCTTCTTCAAAAAATGCTTATTTCAGGCTGTGGTGAAGTTCTCTTCCGGGGAGTATCACCTATAAATGGATGCTCCCTCCGTGAATTCCTCAGGTGCCTGGGAAGCAGCGTGCAGAATAGAGCAGCTTATCAACCTTAACGGCAGCTCTCATTAACGCTCCAACCGTATTTTCACTTCCTTACATCACATCACACCACACTACTTTACAGTTTGGTGAAGGAGAGAGAAGGGCTTCGTCTCCAGCCCTGGCTCCCGATGTGCTGCGCAGCCAGGCAGACTCTGGAGCCAGCAGTGTGGGAGCACGTGTGGGAGTCTGATCTCCAGCAACCCCTGGCATATATCTAAACTTTAGACTAGATTAAAGGTCAAACTTTGCTTCTCTCTCTTTTTTTTTTTTTTTTTGACTCAGAGAGCCAATGTCCTTGGGCAAGCAAGCTATTATGTTTTATTTCATCAGTTAGTGGAAAGCAGCTGTACTGCTTAGCATAACTAACGAGGAGGTCAGACACTAATGCTTTGTATACAATAGCATTATATGCAGCACTAAGGCAAATGATCGCCCATTAAAACAGTATCTTGTATAAAAGAAGGGGAAAATCCCCCTCCCTTTGAAGAAAAAAATCAGAATGGAGTGCTTCCTTTTAGTTATCGCAAAAAACAGGACCCCTCAGGTCCTTCAAGGCCAGAAAATCATTTACCAAAAAATATTGGGGAGGTAATCCACACCGATACTCACTACTGATTACTGAAAATTTGGAACTGACTGTTGCAAATATACATGAAAAATATCCGTGCAGAAGGAAGGCGGTTGTTCACAGTGCTGTAATTACTACCTGTGCTCCTTTTGGCTGGGATACAGTTAATTATCTTCATAATAGGGCTTCGTTTTGGATTTGTGCTGAAAACAGGGATGTTTGAGTTATTGCTGAGCAGTGCTTACACAGTCAAGGCCTTTTCTGCTCCTCACACCACCCCACCAGGGAGGTTGGGGATGCACAAGAAGTTAGGAGGGGACACCGCTGGAACCCCAGCTGACCAAAGGGACGTTCCATGTCATGTGATGTCATGCTCAGCATATAAAGCTGGGGGAAGAAGAAGAAAGGGGAGGGACAATTGGAGTGATGGTGTTTGTCTTCCCAAGCAAGCATTATGCATGTCAGAGCCCTGCTTTCCTGGAGATGGCCTACAACAATTATCTGTTCCAACTGCCTGAACAATTCAGGGCTGACCAGGTTAAAGTACATTATTAAGGGCATTGTCCAAATGCTTCTTAAACACCAACAGGCTTGGGGCATCAACTACTTCTCTTGGAAGCCTGTTCCAGTGTCTGACCACCATCTTGGTAAAGAAATGTTTCCTAATGTCCAGTCTGAACCTCCCTGGCATAGCTTTGAACCATTGTCTAATTTGTCTCTGATCTTTTTTACCAAAGGCGGCAAAATTGAGGATTCATGAGCAGCTGTCTGATTGAATCCACTGAGGAGATAATACTCAGGCCCCATGAAAGGCCTCTGGCTCACTACCCTGAGCATCTTTATCTTTTTACAGTGATGGCAGACTATAACACAAACTGGTTTTCAGATGTCCCTTTACTTAAGAAAGCTGTTTCTGTCTTTGCTGTAAATGTGACACCTGAGGACTGTTCTGCCAGACTTTCTCATGCTGACTAGTAATCTGCTGCTGCGCAAAGGTGTCCAACAGAACGGGAGGACACCAGGTTCCCAACACATGAAGGTTACAGCACGTACACAAAACCAGTCTGGAGCCTTGCTCTGTGGGAACGCTCTGCACCAAATGACAGGCAGCACCTTACTCCATTTACAGTTTCACTAATTTTGGTGAGGAAATGCCCAGTGCAATATTGATCAGTGCATCTGATCTGAAAAGACCTGGTCCTGCATAAAAATGTTAGGGCCCTATGCAAGAAGGCGTATTAATATATTAATTCTTCTGAAATAGTCCATTTTATACATTTTGCTTGTATGTATCAGATGGTACTAGTTGGACATGAAACAAGCTGTCTAAAAGTAAGGAATCTAGTCCTGTCGAGTCTGTAGGGGAGGTCATCCCATCCTAAGGTCGTCATTGACTATAGAGGCAATTTAAACAGTCATTTTGGATTTGACACCTAGCCTTTGGGTGGCCAAAGCTGGTTGAGATATATCCCCTCCATCCTGTCAGTAGTATTTTACACACACACACAAACATTTTTGTATGTAAATATGTTTTATATATTTTAACGTATTTAAGTTATCTATATGGTTTTTAGATATATATATACTTCAGCATTTACTGAAATCCATATAATAAGCTATTTCCCATGTAGTACACTACTGCAAGTATGGGTATACCTGGCAAAACGTTTAATGGTGTTAACACATTTAATGGTGTTCCACTTGTTTTTTTTCTGATTCTCCTTTTGATTTACGGAAAGTTACTTGGTACTTAGAAGTAAAAGAATAAATAAAATTAAATTAAATTAAATTGAATTTTAAAAATGTTAACTAGTGCTGACTGGCTTTGCAAAGGGCCACAAAGACATAAACCTTAAGCCACACAGGCAGGAAGGTTACTGTCTCCCTCTCCCCAGTGAGGGGAAGGTGGGCAGGTTTTTTATTTCACTTTCGCATCTGTGTTACCCTGACTTCTGCTCACCATGGCTAGGACACCAGCTCGAATGGAAGGACCATCTGGAAGGAAATATACTTGCCATGGTGTGCTTTTTACATAAGAAACACACTTCTTTTTCATGGCTGTTTTGACATGGCAGTGACTGCCTTGGAGACTGCAGAGTCAAGCTGGAGCTTGGGTTGTGGGGTTTTTTGTTGTTGAAGTCTAGAATATTAGTTAAAATCTCCAGGCACATTTTTCAGTGCACTGAAGAGACAGGCTAATGCTTTAACCTAAGATACAACATTAATAATATCCTTATGGCTGGCTCTTGGACTCTCTTCTCATGCAGACAAATGCTACCCACACATTCCTTCACCCGACACACAGACAGTCATAACTTGGCGATTAGCGTGGTTCCAAGGCCTACTGAGATAAAACAGAGAGAAGCTCCACATTGCTTTATATAGCCTAATAACTTGAAGCAAGTTTGAAATGCAAAGAAAGCTGTGGGAAGGGTTATTTCTAATGAACAGCTCTCTGTCAGAGATAACAGCAAGGAGCACAAGTGACGGACGGCACAAGCAGAAGACAGAATGTAGGAGAACTAGGGAGGAATCTGAAGCACAACCAACCAAAGAAATAAAGGCAATTTATAAATTCTCAGCTGATTCTGCCATCTCTGAGACGTGACTAATGCGCAGACAATGACAGCATGTGGATGTCTCCGGGAGAAAGAAAATGGTGCTGGGAGGAGAAGCAGAGTTTGTAATTTCTAAACTGAAAGACAGCAATGTCTGTTTCTTTTTTTTTTTTTTTTTTTAATTAAACATCATTA